ATTACTGGGCAACGCATTTCCGTGTGATCCTTTTCGACATGTTCTCTACTAGGTGTAAAGGAATTCATATTGGTTACTTCAATGGGATCGAATGAAAACTCTTGGTTTTTGTACCCAAGAACGAAGGTAAGCAGCTGCTCATACATACTGTTTCATTGTAGTTCGCCGAACGAGTAATTTTTGCAGGGTGAGGTTGAACGAGACGTCGCAGCTCTTGAATTCGAGAAATTTCTCATTGTACGGCCTGGAATGCTCGAAGGACCAAGAGAAGGTGAAAATTTGGGTTTTTATCAGCTCATTGTTCTTTTATTGTGTCTTTGATTCCTTTTTTTCGCTACCTTTATGAAAGCTTCTGCGCTATGTCCTCAATATGTTCCTATGGGTCCTTCTGCTTCATTCAGAAAGAGGAATATCATGATATAGACTTTGGAATTTGAAACGGAATTTTCGGTCATGTTTATAGAAGCTATGGTGGCGGTTTTAGGCTAAAGCAATGAAAATCAAGCTTCTGTTGGAACTTTCTCGTTGCCAATAGTATTGTGAGGGAGCCGGCATCTTTGGTTGGCCTAGTGGCATTGCTTCATTCTCTTTATCCCTCTGTACTTGAGTTTTGTACAAATATAACACTCGGAGCATTTGGATGGGATTATCAAGTGCATAACTTCTACCGTGTAAGTGACCCATTAAAGGCAGAATTTGCGTGAAAAAGCAACCCATTTCAAATTAAGGGATGGTGAGTGGTACACGAAAGAAGGAAAAACCATGAGAAACGGCCCAGAACCCGAGAAATGGGACCCCTTCCTTGCCCGTTGATTTGCGCATTGATGCGACTCTCATCGCTGTGCCCTCTTCAACACTACGCTCTCTCTGCTATCTAATCACTCGCCACGTATAGACCTGCGGCGAGTGATTAGATAGTCGGTGGGCGTACCCCGCCAACCGCGCCAAGAGTGAGCCATGCTAGATCGCCGAGGTCAAATCTTTCGCTGCCAATTGCGCGTCGGTCAGCACCCTCAGGAGGTCCGCCTGTCTCCCAACTATGCAATTTTCCCTTCTTTGACCTTCGTTCTTATCGTGAATCCTCCTTTAATCAGATTGTTTTTCTCTTGCTTTGGAATCAGTCTCTACCAATTTCCCTCAGTGTTCTCATAGACTTTTCTGGTTTGGTGATGACGTCACAATGTGTCCATTACAGAGCATCGTTTCGGAGAATCTCTAGCAAAAATCTTTGTCATCGTATTGAAAATGCTCAGCAACTCA